AAAGCTTCTTTTGAACTGTGTTTTTTGTTGGTCTTATTACAAGGATGATGACATATGTTTGGGTACACGTCCATTATGTTCCATGGTTCTGACTCATTAATTGCAATATATTGATGAAGGCTCTTTTGCATATTTACTACATATATCCATAATTTTTGCAAAAACAATATATTTAAAATAAAATAATATATAAACTATTTATCAAAGAGTCATAAAAAAAAAAAAAATCTATACTTATATAATAAGGTATCCTATTTACCAAATCTAGTAGGTTGAAAAGTCAACGTAATTAATGCATTGTTATTTCTATCCAGAATTTTATATAATTATTTTATTTATTTGTCTTATATCCCATAAAATCGGTTTAAGAAAAAAAAATAAAAAAATAATTTTATATAATTATTTTATTTATTTTTATATAATTATTTATTTTATTTTTTTTATTAAAAAAAGTACCTAAAATCTTTACTTCAAAACATCGAGTCGGTCAAAAACAAATCCCATAAAATCGGTGAAGTAAAAATTGTACGTAAAGTCTATATCTATACTAAAAAAAAAGCACATTCAAAATTCATTATATGATTCTTTCTTATTATATAATTGTATGAAAATTTGTTCTGATTTTGTTCAATCATCTAACTGTATTTGTCTTATATCCCATAAAATCGGTTTAAGAAAAAAAATCTCATAACATCCGATAAGTCAAAAAAAAAGTACGTAAAATCTTTACTAAAACAAAAAAGACTTTATTTATGATCTAATTGTATGGAAATCTGTTCTGATTTTGTTCAAAACGATTTCTGTATATTCAGATTTTTTCATAAAAATATTAACAACAATATATATCTACTCTACCCATTATAAATTACAAATATCAAAATATCGAGATATTATATTCCTCACTGTCAACATCATGCGAATAAAAAATACCAATTCTTTTATTTAAAACAATGAATCAAGGATTTGGCTTAATCAAACAAGTCAATAGGTCTAATAGACCTATGCTCAAAGTTCGAATTTTGAGAATGTTTTTCCAAGACTGGGGCATCACATACAAATCATATCTCGAGTTGGTTCTGTATGATAAAAATGTAAGTCAAATTATTTGATTTTTTTTTTTAATTACGAACTTTGAAACGTATATTTTTATTTTTTTTTAGTTTTTTTTTTTATATTTTCGTGTAAGTATTTAGATATTTTTGTACATGTTTCGAATACCATGACCATAAACAAGAGTCAGAGACATTCTTTATCCCACGTGGGTCTTTTTCTAAAGAAACTTGTCTTTAGTCATGGCCAATGATATGTTGTTGTTTCGCGTGTAACTAACAGAAGGGGGTTGAAGATATTAGTTTGTGAGAATGAGGAGTTGCCCAATAATCAAACTCATAATATTGTGTACAAGGAGGTCTTTAATAATATATAATTGTTTCTTTGTCGAATACTATTTTATTGTACAATTTTCCTGCATATTGTAAAACTTTTTTTGAATATTGCATCTTATAATATAATAATCCCCAAATAAATATATCTCGTGCCTCGCACATGTCACGTACTATATATATCCCGTATATTTTTCTTTATTCATTTATATAATTATAAGGCTGGTTAAATGGTCTCAAAATTGTGCACCCCGTACATCGCACGGGCTCTGTACTAGTATAGATAAATGGCATAGTTTTCTCATTAATGAACGAATGATCAAATGCTTACTTGTCTTCATGCATAATTCGTGCTCATTACATGGCCTTGTTTGGTAATCCGCGGTTAGCTTATAGCTTTTAGCTGATTACATTAGCTGTTTTGACCAGCATATTTAATTAGTTGTTTTGACAAGATGGTGGTGTTAGCAGTTTGTAAAAAAATGTTAGATAAAATTAGCTATATGTAATTAGTTGTTCACATGTAAAATTATTTATAAGGACATCATCATGATTTATCATTCTTATTTATATTGAATTTATAATTATTTAGGAAATAAAAATAATTAACATTGTAAATATTTATTAAAGTGATAAAATATAAATAATAATAAAATAAAAATATTTCTTAATTGAGTAAATAAGTTTGCATCCTATAAACAAAGATAATAACAATTCATCACTATTTAAACAATATTTGACTCAATTGCAATATACCTCATTACAAAA